CTAATATGATAAGTAGGGGGAAAGTAGTAACATTAGTACAATTTTGATTTACTATTATGTTATTTTCATTATATTTGGAGAGACCTTGAACAGTTTTAGAAACTAGCTCTATTCTGGCCTTGGTACCTCCTCCAGGTAGATGTCTGAGGAGCTGACTCAACTCTGGAGCTATCCTCCCTAATTCAGGGTCATCATTAACTAAAGGCCCATTGTTAGTAGCTCATTTTGCGGAGCCCATTCTGCTTCTTGGGGAATGGGAAAATTTTATTTCTAAGATTTTGTTTCTTAGTGGACATCTTATTAGTAAGAGGTTAAGCTGAATATACATTTGAGACTTGGAGAAACACACAAACATACGTATATATAAAATCAAATTATATACACATACACATACACATACACACACACACACACACACACACACACACACACACACACACATATATATATATATATATATATATATATATATATATAAATCTCTGTGTCAACATATATATTAACCACTCAAAGTATACATTGTACACTGGTGTCTATTTAAAAATTTTTTATACTTACTTATTTTACTTTAGGGGTATTCACACTTTACCTGAAAGTGTATCACATGCATGTCTGCTTCATGAAGCAGTCGAAAGAGGGTATTGGAATTACAGATGATTTTGCCACACAATGTGGATCTGGGGATTGAAATTGGGTTCATTGAAAACCATCAAGCATTTTTAACTGCTGAAACCCTTATCAAGCTTCTGGTGTGCATGTGTGTTTGTGTGTGTGTGTGTGTGAGTGTGTGTGTGTGTGTTTATGTGTATGTATTTTTTTCCTTTGTTTGAGGTTTAGCCCATCACATTTGTTGTTTCTGTTCTTTAAGCTCTTCATCATGGAATGGCACTGCATCACTTTCTGTGCACTCTGACAAGCTGTTTTGATATCTTTTGAATATTTCTCATATACCCTGATATTGTCATCTCGACTGTGGGGTTTTTTTTTCATGGCATGAAATTAATGTGAGGGCAATAGAAAGAATTTCAGATTCTGTGTTTATATGTTTCTTTGTTTTTATGCTATGATTCATCATCAGGTATTCGAGAAAGATGTATGACTAGAAGCGTCTCACATTTTTAAAAATAGTATTTCTAAATACTTTCATAAGATGAAAGGAGTTGTAACAAATAAATGCTTTCCAGCAATGATTATATTTATATAGTTTTTATTTTTATGTTATATGTTTCATGAGTTTTCAAGCATCTGAAATGCCTCTCTGAAGAGATTTTATCATAGGATATCTTGCGAATGTGAATGCTTCTATTTAGTTTAAATTATTGGAACTACTTAATACTTTTCCCCATTTTTTGCTTCCATGAAATTTCTATTCATTAAGTTCATCTGCAACTACTGAAGACATCAGTGTATAACTGACAACCTAAAAGGTTTCTCTCCTTTGTGGATTTTCCAATATTAAAATGTGTAATACCATTTTTCCACTTTGTACACTTCTTCCTCATGAATGATTTTGTCTTTGAAAGTAGCTGAAACAATTGAATGGATTTCCCACACTCCACACATGCATGGATCTTCTTTATGGTGTAAGCTTTTTCATGTAATTAATGCATATAAATCTTGTTATTGCTTTGTGACATTATTCATATTTACAGAATTTCTCTTCATGGGACTCACCTCACATGTATGAAATAAACTGTATAACTTAAAACTTTAATACATTTATAACCATAAGTTTTTATATACACAGTATAGATTTTATATATTTGAATGCAATATGTACCAGTAAATATATTTTCAAATTGTTTGCATTTATAGGCCAAGCTTTGATATTTATTATCATATGTCTTTGAAATTGGAGGAGGATTTGGATGGTGGCATGAAGGATCTTTATTTTTTTAAAAAAAAATTGTTTAACACTATATGTGTTCTTTATTGTACCAGAACTTCCATGAACTCAAAGTAGCTACTCTATTTTTATATTCATGGGTGTTTCTGTTGTGCATATTCTTTTAAGTATTAGAAAATTACTAAAGTTATTAGTGTGCTGACATGCGGCTTGTAAGCTGCATAGAGATCATGACAAACAGTTAAGACTGTGTACTAATATTCTATCTACTATAGGATTATAAGAGAAACATTTCTGAGTATCCCGCTCTCTTTTGTAGACTTAGACATTGTCTTGTGAAATTTTTGATCAACAAGATCCTGTGGGCATGTCATGTTGCTTCTGAATGAGTTGAAGCCCATAGAGAGTCCCCAGTTTGCCTTGACAATGAAACAAGTGCAGAGAAAGATCATGCATTAGCTTACACCCTTATATATACACCAGGAATATAGGGCAAACCACATAAACAACAACAACAAAACTAACTCACAATTTTTTAAGCAAAAGAGGATGTGATGTCTTGTTGTTGAAAGAAGCATGTAGTATAGTAATTTGATCAGCATTTTTTTCAGGCTGTGCTATGTGTGGTGTTGAAATAAAGCATAGCATCAATATTTATATCCTACTTTAACAGCATCCAAGAGAAATAATAGACATTATTTCTCTTGGATGTATTATTATTATTGTTATCAAAATATGAAGAGAATAAACATTAAACTGTCACATATGATACCTATCACATAGTTAAAGAATTTTCTTACAACATGGGAAAATATAGTATTCAGATAGGATTAGTATTAATATTAGTATTAGTTTAAGTATACTTGACTATATTTGCTTCAGAATAATACCGAAAACTTTTGATTAGAAAAATATTAGTCATTCAAGAAACATATTTATTTTTGGTTCTGGAAGAGTTATTTCTTAAAATCAGATACTGTTTTGCTATTAAAGCTAAGTTAAAACTTAGCCAAACAATATGACCATCTCTATAAGTGGCTAGCAATACCACTCTGAGAATGATCAGATAAATTTACAGATAAAGGTCTAGTCATAAGTGATTATAGTCAATATCAAAGATTGTGAATTTTCTGCTGTTGCCTGTAGCTAAATCAAATGAATTCAATGCATATCTTAAAATTTGACACTTTAGGAGGGAAATGCCACCAAAGTTATTTCATATGTGTTTTTCAGCAAACAAAAGGGAAATCATACTGAAAGAATCTTTCTTTAAGGGTAGTGAATACCAGTAAGTTTTATTTATAATAGCCACTACTGGGAACCATTCATAGGTCTTGAAAAGGAAAAAGTAAATTACTTTCAATGAACTCTTCATTATACCTATAGGACATCACTTACCAATGTCATCCAGGAACAACAACAAAATAGTTACAGAAAATTTTATATTTTGTTATATTTGTTATATGCCTATAATGTTTATTTTAAAATTCCTGGCATAAAATATGCTTTTATACATATACCCAACAGAATTAAATAGAAATGCCATGGTTTCGTGCAGTAGTTATCAATTTTCATTTTCTGAAAGCAGCCAATATGTTGAGAAAAACTTTAAAGAAAGAAATAGCCAGCATGAACCCATGAATGTTGCAAGTGTCATGTGGCTGTAGGTTTATAACAAGTTTGTGATTTGCAATGCTATTCTGGATCAATAGATGTCAATAAAGTAACTTGTCATTACACTACACTCATATAAGGCTGACCAACAAAAGATTTCTCTCTCTTTCCCCATGACATATTTAATGTGATGTGTCAATAAACACAGAACAAAATCCCTTGTTAGGGACCTGCACAAATGAAAGAGACAACAATTTTAGTTAGAAAATATGTAGAAAAAAGTAGAGAATTCAAGTGTGCATTGCTGTTGAGCTAAATTGTCTTAAGAGGAAGAATTTTTTTTAATTTAATGGATCACTTCCATGCACATTATTCATAGCTTCTACACTATAATTATTAGTAAAAGTAGCAAATCAAGCCTTCACTATTTCAGTTCTAAATAACTGTGATAAGTGCACTTAACTAAACACGGCTTCATTATTTGACAAGAGAATTACATCAAGTCTTATCCCAAAGTGCAATTTAAAATTGATCACTTACAGCCAACAGGCTTAATGTATACAAATAACATCTAGATAAATAATTGCAGCTGTTTTTAAATGGAAAAGAAATCTATCAATAATTTTCTCAAAAAGTTTATGAAGTGTCAATAATATGGAAACATCCATCATAGAAATATAATGACTATAGGTAGGAGGAAATTGAATATACACTTTGGAAAATATTACATGACTTTCATGTTATAAGATGCTCAAGGGAGGAATAAAATGTCCTTGAAGTAAAACTTTTCTTCCCTGTGTTGCTTTTGCTAGGGCATTTTGTTCCAGCAAGAAGAAAGGAACCAATACAGCTCAATAAGTAAATTCTACTATTTTGAGTACAGCACATATATTACTAAAACTTATACACTTGCTAGATATAAACTATATGCTTTAAAATAATCTACATTTCTAGCAATCAGAATCAAGATTACACAGCATAGATATGTAAGCAGATACCTGTCCCCCAGCACTTCCATCAGGCTGTTTGTCTTCCTCCCATCATCACTGACTCCTTTTTAGGGTGTATTTGTCTTCAGGCAGGATGGAGATTGAGAAACTTTGTTATTCGGTACATAAACTCTAGGCCAATAATTTCTCATACACGCTGAAAATGATTCTGCAACATTACCTACATAAACTTCATAAAAGGGAATCTTGCAAAATTTGAATTTGTTGAAAAAATTTTAAAGACTAGGTCCCATTAGGTATCTCTGATTGTCCTGGAAATGACCATGTAAACTGAACTGTCCTTGAATTCACAGTGATCCACCATCCTCCTGAGTGCTGAGTTTGAAAGACGTGTGATTAAAGGTATGTTCTGATATATCTGCTTTGATTTAATTGAAATTAAATGTTAAAATAACTGTTATATGAGCCTTAGTCAGTGAGATAGGTTGACTAATAAAAAAACTGTTACTCTACGTAAAGGGAGAAAAGTTATTGAACTACTTCCTCATAGATTTTTTGTTATCTAAAACCCAGTAGGTTGCTTGGATGCCTTATGTAGTTGGAATATTCTGTCCTTTCATCCTACATCCCAGCTGCCTCAGTACCCAAAGAGAAGTCTGCTTTAATTTAGAATTTCCCAAAATCAGAATAGACGAGTGAGCTGAAGGACACAGGAGTGAAGTTATCATACAAATAATGTGAACTAGTCTACTGTGATTCTTCTGAGCAATCCATGATACAAGAAGAGACAGGAAATACATAGTATAGAGCAAGAGGAAGGAGACCATAATTCTCAAGGCAGTTCTGTGGGCTGTAGCACTAGGGTCTTTATCTCCTCTAAAATTGAGCTGCATCTTCTGGAGATGTTTATACAAAGAGAAGATTAGCAGAATAAAAAAAATTAATGCCAGTGAAAATGGTATTGCAGAGAACAGAGTCATGTTAAATAACACCTCCTCTGTCAAAATTGTAAACTCAGTCTCCATGGAGTTCACACTTGTATTTCCTTCATATTGATAGAACTTCTCTTCAAGAGTGATGGTTATTTGTATCATATTTGCAATCAAGATCACCAAGCTTCCCATTAAGATCAGCACAATCAGCTTTTTCAGTCTCCATTTCAAGTAGAGAAAGATCTGCCAGGAGCAGTTAGCTATTCTGAAAAAATAGAAGATGCTGAGAGCTGTAGCAAGCCAGAGACTGAAGTGGCTAGATAGTATAAGGCTGAACATAATTATTTTTAATTCTTTTATAGTAATAGATGAAATTAATTGATCTTTAACCCACAAAAGTACGGTTTCCCAGATGAGACTAATTCTGGAAATTGACAAGATAATGAGTATTTGATCAATTGTGGAGAGCTCTATTTTATTGATCCAGTCAATGAAGTTCTTCAGAACTATAAAACTATTGCTCAAATTGCCCAAAACAAGCTCTGCAATTAGTATGATGGTGATGATAATGTGCAGGACAGGTACCATATTCAAACAAAAAAAACTCAAAGTCTTTGTCACTGCTCCTCTTGTACTGATTGAATGCCTGGCATATGGTCCACTGTGTAGCTAAAATATCTCTCCTCTTTGTCCTCTTCCTTCTGCAATATCTGATTATAAGGAATGCCAAGTATCTTCTACTTGGCATTTAATCTGCCTACATTCTTGCTACATTTTTTCTTCAATTCACTGTTGAGTCCTAGATAATGTTTTTATGTGATTACCATGGGCTGAAATACTCAGCAGATGATTTAGAAACAAAGGACAACCCCATTTGCTGGTATGAAAATCAAGAAATTCTTTCCTACTGTTTTGCATCTCTGCCCTTTTTGAGATTTAGGAAATTTGGTTATGCTGTCTTCAGTTCTGAGGTCCAAATATTGCAAAAACCATGTTCAATGAATATGAAGTTTAAAAATGTTTTTGTGTTCAATCAAGAGTCTTGCCACCGAAGACTTAAAAGTCATTCAGAGTCAGGTATGTGTTTTTTCATTAAACATCAGTTCAGGTCCTATCTTTTTCACACTCAGATTGAAAGCTGAATTCACAGAAAGAAAGAAAGATTGCTTCATTGTGAATAGTCAACTTCTCTTTATGCTGCAGAAGAAAATAAAAATGCAGAGTTCAAACATTTACAGACTGCCTTAAGATTATTAATTTTGCAGCTGGAGCCATGGGTCCCTCCATGTGTGTTCTTTGGTTGGTAGTTTAGTCCCTGGGAGCTTTGGGGGATCTGGTTCATTAATAATGTGGTTTTTCCTATGAGGTTGTAAACCTATTCAGCTCCATCAGTCCTCCCCCTAACTCCTCTATTGCATGATCCCCATGCTCAGTCTGATGGCTGGCTTTGAGTACCCACATCTGTATTGGTCAGGCTCTGGCAGAGCCTCCAGCCTCTCTGGGGAGTGCCATACCAGGCTCCTATCAGTAAGCACTTTTTGGCATCATCATATCTAGAATCAATGTGAGAGGATGCCCTTGGTCCTGTGGACACTTAATCCCCTAATGTAGGGGAATGCTAGGGTGGTTAAGCAGAAGTGGGTAGGTGGGTGAATTCCCTCATGAGTGAGGTGAAATGAGATAGGGGGTTTGCAGAGAGGAAATCTGAAAGGGAGATAACATTTAAAAGTAAATAAAATAACCAATAATAATGGAGTATAGAGCTAAAAAATATTTATTTAAAATTCATATTAATAAAGTACTTTAAAAACTGTTTTAACCTTGACCAATATAAATCAGTGTATCTTCTGATGAGAAAAATGTCATTTAGTAAATTAGCAATTACACATTGAAAATCTTTGCATTTTATTAATTACTCAGACTTTGTCAGATGGTACACAAAACACTTGGATAATTATAATAAATGTAACTATTTATCTTTGCTAATTTTCAAATTTGATTTATAAATTAAAGAATTTATAGTTTTTCCAATATCAGAGGACAGAGTCCCTTTTCTACATTCTTAATTTTATATATCAAGAAAGTTCAAATCAGATATATAAGGGAATATTTGAGTTTGAGAGAGAAAAGACTACTTACAACTTGTTGAGCATGCAATTTTCAGATCTCAGCATCGATGGGGATCAAAGAGACATCAGAAAACAATTTAGACAGTGGAAGAATAACTGGGACCTACAGAAGATAGTTGAAGATATTTGCAACTGTCTAATATTTCAGAAATATTAAGGTGCTAATATTTCAGAAAGCATGGCTCTGCATAATGCAAATTTGGTTAAACATGTATTTGTGGGCTTTAAACTGTCCCAAAACCTAACAAGCTCTGCCCACCTTGAGACTACTACATTTATTTTTCTATTTTACTAAAATATCTCTTTTGTTTTATTTGTTCTCACTGCATTTGTAACGGAGAGGTTCTAGGTGTTGTCCACCTAAATTTAGATTGTCTCACCTAAAGACCAACCAGGGTAGTTATTTACTTGTGTAGACTTGCTTTCTGAGATAGAAAGCAGAAAGCAGACAGGCACACCAGTAGTACTCTATGACCAAGCTGTCTGAACTGTGAAGCCTTTTAGGTTTGTAAGTAAAATCTCAATAAGGGACAGTTATTGTTCCCATTATTTATTCTTATCTTCAGATGTGTCATATTTTCCCTTTTGGATTAGAATGGTTTGCTTTATGTTGTGAAGCAATATTTCTTCTTTAAATCAGGATCTTTCCTTAAAGAAGCTTACATTTGTATGGGTATTTGTGACACATAAAGTAACCATCAGGAAGATGGTTATAACCTCACCCACTACTGACATTTTTAAAGGCTGGATAAACCACCCACAACATACAGGTTAGAAAATGCTGACATAATAAATACTCATATTTCACTGAATGGTGTCTGAAAAGCAGAGAAAGAGTCTTTCCTCTTTCCATCTTTCTTTTCAACATAAGCTTCATCTCATGATAGTTTTACATTTTCTCAGAAAGAATAAAATATTCAGAAAAATATGGAGTGATATTCTCTAGAGCTTAATGGCACCCAGAATGTGCCTGTACAGGTCACCTAAGCAGTAGCACAGGCTTTGCATATGAGAAAATACTATTGACCCTATAGATTGTGGTATAAGGGGTGATAAGAGTTAAAGAATGAGAGACTTGTTATAGTGTAAGCTATACATTGTTTTGGGTTCTGGAAAGATTCCGTAAGAGAAAACTTTAGGAATATAAACTAGAGCAAATAAAAATGGATTCCTATACACATGGAAGCCCAATCAATTCTATGGGGAAATCACAGAAGGTTTCCTCAATATCTGAAGGACAATAAAGAAGTAAATGACTCCAATGGGATTGTATAAAAAGTTTGTCACTTTCCTTTCCATGCATTGAGGATGTATAATCAATATTTTCTTCCTCTCACTCTTAATATTTACTTAATATTCCAGAAAGCTCTTAGATATTCCCTATAATTTTGTGTTATACTTGTATACAGAGAATAACGTGCTGTCATTAATGAACTAGTAAATGAAATGTAAACAGAAATATCATGATATTTATGACTATGCCTCTGTGTGTGATTGTAAATATAATCACTGGAAACTAAGATGTGAAACTAAGTGTGAAGAGGAAAAAGAAGGGAGAAGCAATATAATTATATTTTAATTTTAAAATTAAAGATGTGTCAGTAATGGCATTTCTATGCTATTACCTCTATAGGCAATGAATCTAAAAGTACTCTCATTAAGAATACTTCTCGCCGGGCGGTGGTGGCGCACGCCTTTAATCCTAGCACTCGGGAGGCAGAGGCAGGCGGATTTCTGAGTTCGAGGCCAGCCTGGTCTACAGAGTGAGTTCCAGGACAGCCCGGGCTATACAGAGAAACCCTGTCTCGAAAAACCAAAAAAAAAAAAAAAGAATACTTCTCAAAGCAAAATAAGATGCTTTCCATAGATTACTAATAGACTACTTCATAAAATAAAAGTCTCCCAATTATTATTCTTTAATTTTTTTCTTGATACACCCTAAGCTATTTCAAGTCTATTATTGCATTGAACAGAACTTTCTATGCTGAGATAAATCCATCTTGTCTATGATGTACAACAATTTATAGTATTTCTTTATTCACTATGCCAATATTAATCATAATTACATGTTTGTTTTTAAGAAATATTGGCAATTACACTTTTTAAGACAGGTTTTTTAATGTAGCCTATATAGCATAAATCACACTATGCTGTCCAAATATTCCTGTAAATCTATTTGCCTCAAGTTCTCAACTTTTGACATTCTGGCATGTCACTAATGATTATTAATTAATTCAATTTTTCTTAATATTTTCTGTCATTTATTTCTACTCATCGAGTTAAATATTTACCAATTGGTTGCAACAAGACTTACTGAGTTCATCTTTATATAAATTATTATAGAATCGATGACATTATTGATTTTTCAATCTACCATTCCAAATGTTTATGTTTGTTTATATTTGTTTATACATTCATAAAAGTTAGAACATTTAATTTGGGGACAAAATTATGTCTTATACATATCCATCATATTTTTAAGATACTGAATTTATCTTTAGTAATGGGTGTGGTAATTTTATGTCAGCACAGGTGCCTTCAGAGGCCACGGCCAGTGTTAGTATCAAGTTCCTGTTAATCATAAGGCCTGCTCTGTAGGCTTCTCTGAATTTCTACTCCTAGTTGTTTCTATATCCAGTTGTATCCCACATCACAGGTACATTATGCAATAAGTTAAGGCTGTATACTCAAGAAAATAACATAGTCAGCCAGAATTTCATTATTATGTTATTAGAAAGCAAAATGACAATAACATACAATGTAAGAAATGCAGTTACAGTTTGCAAGGCTCTGATGTGGGCTGTGGTGCTTGCCTGTCTGTAATCTCCTGCACTGAGCTGCATGATATTCAATTGTCTCCACAGGAAAGTGATGAGCAGGATAAGTCACTAAGGACACAACGAAGCATATGAATGTGAATATGTATCTGGCAAACAAAATAACTTTGGTAAGTTGCACAGAATTATCCAAGCTAGGACTGCAAGACATGTTACTTTTATATACTTCACACCAGGTATTAACTTGTAGTGTTTGTAACTGTAATGTTTATAAACAAGAGTACTAGAGAGTCCTGCAATATCAGCAGAACCACTTTCATATATATATATATATATATATATATATCCTTAATCTTTTTTTTTTACAGTCCCATCCTGGACTGTCCTCCAATAGTTCCTCATTCTATTCCTTTTCCCCTGTCTCCAAGAGGATGTCCCCATGCGCTCAACCCCACCCCACTTCCCAACCCCACTCCCCTACCCCATCCCACACCCCCCAGCCCCGCCCCACCCCAGCAGGCCTCCCCACTCCCTTGGACCTCAAAGCTCTCAAGGATAAGGTGAGTCTTCTCTCACTGAAATCAGACCAGGCAGTCCACTGGTGTATGTGTTGGAGACCTCATACCAGCTAGTGTATATTGGCTGGTTGATGGCTCAGTGTCTGAGAGATCTCAGTAATGCA